TCATTCCTGTTCTTTGTAAGACAGTGACGGATCCATAGAGGGAGGGGTTGTCGGCCCCCCCCCCTCGGGCATACATATACATATATTTTTTACTTCATGTAATCCAGAACTGCATACAAATTGCGTAAAATAATTTGTCACACTAATTTTGGACAAAGAAATGGTATGGAATTGCCATTTTGGAGACTTAGTTTACACACATTTTTCGGAGGGGCACCCCTGAACCGCCCCAGACCCCCTGGCTCGCCCCCCCCCCCTTGTGACTGTTCTAGATCCGCCACTGATGTAAAGACTGAAGTATATTCTTAAAAAAACATATATATATATATTTTTCAATTCAGCATCGTCAGCTTAGGCTATGAAGGCGCTGGATGTGTTGAACAGGTTACATCGACTACATGTTGTATGATTACAGGACTTCATGCATATTTCCGTTTAATCTTAAGAATAAATGAAATATTTTGGATAAATCAGCTTAGTAATTTAATTGAATTAAAGATATTTTATCAAAAGTCTGTAAGTTTGCTGTATTTTTAGGTGCATCCCCAGTACAGTCCGACAGACTTCAGGAACGACGTTGCCCTTGTCAAGTTGGATCGCCCGGTGTTGTTCAAACAGCATATCATTCCCGTGTGCCTGCCTGATACTACGGCCAAACTTGTAGGCAAGACTGCGACTGTGGCTGGCTGGGGCAGGACAAGACACGGTCAGTCACACACACTCAAACGCTAAATCCCTAGAACTAGGCATGGTAAAGTTGTCGCCATGTTTAACTGATCCATCAACAGTGTGTTGATATAAAGTATTGATTTCTGTCAAATACCTTAAATTTTCAACCAAGTGAAACTTGTTGTAAGCTCTCGCATCTTTTATGTCATGCAAACCATTTCAGTGACACAAATTAAAGCAGAAAATTGAATTTTTGACTCTACACTTTATGTCAGTTGTTCTTTTTAAATATAAACTGGAAACACCTAGTCCATATAGATGCTTCAATTCTAAAAGTCAATGCTATTCGTATCCCATTTTAATCGGTAAGACAACTGGCTAACTATATAATATAAATGCACAGTAATGCACTTCCAAGACTATCAAAGAAACGGACTTATATTTGAGGTTCATTAATGTAGTTGACTGTTGTAAGAGATAGTAATTGAAATGTCAAGTATCTTTGAGAAAAAGGTGATTTCGCTCTCAATACTTAACTGAGGAGCGACGTAAGATTATTTAATAAATACAATTATCAAACCACAGCTTTTAACTCAAGCTATACCACTTGGAAAGAAATAAGTAGGAAGCAAGACATTCTGAAGGTGGTGGAGTGTGACAGAGTCATTGAATTGTGGTCCCATACACAGTCACAGTCAGGTGAGCTGCAATGCTCTGTGAGAGTTAGGAATACTAAAACCAATTTTTGCATTCTTGGTGGTTATTGATCTCTAAATCAAAAACAGAAGTTAGGTATGCATTTTGTTTACATTATTGTATTAAATAGATAAATAAATCCATTAATACTTTGCGGCCTTGTAAAATTCACAAGATAAAATATTTTCTAGTTAAATATAAATTTTTAGTAATTATTTGTTTTGTTCATAAAACAACTGTAGCTTTTTTCTGCCACAACGGCTACAGAAATCGCAGAATATTCCTCAGTAACATTTTTCATTTTACTCAATTAGTGTTTAGCTTTGATTTTTCACTATAAGTTTTATTTTAGAAAAAAATTATTCTACAAAATTAAGTATAAAAATTGCTTACTACAAATATAAAATTTTTTTTTTAACCGGTAGAAAATTTATTCTTGTGTAATATTGGTTAATTTTTTATGACTTAAATAAAATAAAATGATGTTAAAAGTGAATATTTTGTTTTGTTTGTTGTAACGTCTGGTAAAAATATTTTGGCTGAGAAGGTAATTAATAAGGTAATTTAAGGTAATCCTCACGGCCTCACAAAAAATAAACTACTTAGAGTACTAAGCTCCACAATTCACCAAACACCCATCCCTTTTTCTCTGTTGTGTTGGTAGGAGTGTCTACAGTTCCAACAGTACTGCAGGAGGTCGATGTTGAAGTGATTCCGAATGATCGATGTCAACGTTGGTTCAGAGCTGCGGGAAGACGTGAGACGATCCATGACGTGTTCCTCTGCGCAGGCTTCAAAGAGGGGGGAAGAGATAGCTGCCAGGTGAGAACCTACCTTGAAATGTTTGCTTAAGTACAGGATGATATAAAAATAATGGTGCAAAATTAAACAGCGATTTTCTGGTTTCCTTTATTGAAACAGCTGTCAATGCCAACAATGGAAAGACCATGTTTATAATTTGTTTTTATACGGTTATAGTTTTTTATTGGCTGCTTAATTAGCTGTGCTGGAACTGGAGTCCTTATGACTGTTTAGGAAACTTCTGGAAAAAATCCGAAAAGATTCTTCTCGGCATAACTGCATCGGTACCACCTTGCGGATGGAAGTTTTGTTGGTCAGTCACTATGGCTACAGATTGAGCAAGCTTTTTTTAAGCAGCTATATTTATTTTAAAACTAATAAAAATATCATAAATTATCATACAGAAATTACAGTACATCCAGGGCCGTCCCTAGGGTTGGCGGTGCCCGGAGCAAACGTGGTGGTGGCGCCCCCTCTCCCCCCAGTAATAGTCAGTCGCATTCGCATATTTTAATACTATGTTAATACAAATAGCCCTGGTTGCCCCCCCTCCTTCGGACGGCCCTGAGTACATCATGTATTTTTTATTTCAACTATGAACTACGAACCTATTTTAAGCTGGATTGTCTAGTGAAAGAAATAATAATTACTCTTGAAAAAAGGGTGGGTTAGGGTCCCTCCAGGTACACAATGCAATAATGTTTTATAAATTTCAAAATTCTCAATGTTTGTCTCAGGGGGACTCGGGAGGTCCGCTGACCACAACCATCGACGGACGCAAGGTTCTGATTGGTCTGGTGTCCTGGGGCATCGGCTGCGGAAGAGAACATCTCCCAGGCGTCTATACAAACATACAGAAATTTGTTCCTTGGATAGATAAAGCGATGGTTTGAACGTATCCTGTACATAAGCTCTCTTTGAGTTATTTATTAATGTTTTTTCCACGGAAGGAACTCAAAGTACATACATTATGTATTGCTCGTATTTATATCGAACTAATCGTGTAGCCTCTTTATTCGATTGAAAAATTAAATTTTAAGCGTGAAGTCTAAAAATTAATTTATAAATTACGTTATTTATTTTAACAATAGGACCTTGTGATACAGTTTTCCAGATCTCAACTCTGTGACTTGAAGTCATGGTGGATTTTTATTTTAATAAGAAATCATTAAGCATATAAGTATAAGTGAACATGAGATATCTTTGATTCTATTTGGTTGATTGACATTGATTCAATGTCAAAATCAGGTATGTGTCAATGAAAGCACAGCACTGAACACTCTAGGCGACTGATTTCTGTATATGTCAAGTCTTATACGTTAACAATCTACCAATTGATGATCTAGAGATCGATTTACAACATTTGTAAAAACCATTAAAGATGTTAAAATGAATTTTAATTGAAAAATAAAAACTTTTTTTTAATACTTAATACTTTTCAATCAAATGGCGACCATACAAAGTAAAACCATTGAAATGACCATTTAACTTGTAGTTGTGTAGTATACTTTTAAAAAACTGACTATCAAACAAATGTCTCATGCTGTTTATACACTTAAGCTGTCAACTGTAAATAATGATCATTTTACTGTGTCACAACTTTTATTTATTGTGGCAAATAAAAATCTACAAAAGAATTAAACTGTATTATACATTTATACTGTCATACTTAGTGTTTAAAAATAAAATACTCGATAGTCTCAGTGTTTATTTATACCTTGAACTACCGGTATCCAACATTGTACATATTGCTTCGAAATAATGGTAACAGCTGATCGCATATAATTACAAAACAAGATGTCCATTTTGAGTACTTATATTGATAAAGGTAAACAATGCACAAAATTTACGTTTTATGAAATGTAGCTTTAAGAATGTTGCAATACAGCAGAGTCCCGCAAACTCGGCACTCGTTAACCCGGCAGTCTGGATAACTCGGCCATCACCTGCCTCAGAAAATTAGTGATTTTTGAGTCCGAGTTAAACATGGACTCAAGCCAGCTCAAGTCAAATCATTCGCAACTCGTACCAAGGATTTGTTGTACTATATCTGATTACTTAAAACTGGCTTGTAATATAAATATAAATAAAAAAGGCGGTTAAAAGGCTTAAAAATTGTATTGTTCTTATTTTTAACCCTAGTTCCCGATAACCTGGCATTTCATAAACTCGGCACCTTCCAGTCCACATTATGCCAAGTTTGCGGGACTCTACTTTATCACCAAAAATTGTTTAACTGCTGGTAAAAATGTAAGTGTCTTTCCAACCCTGATTATTTTTCTAACCTCAGCTGTTAAACTTGAAACTAGATACTTTTAGCCCTAGTAACAAACACATTAATTAAACACATTAATCCAAAGGGCGTTCAACTATAAAGCTGAAAAAGCTACTAAATTAGCTAACATTTTTCATTAAACTTTCTTATAACTAATTAGTGATTTTAATTTTGGGGAACCATCTTTGATTTTGCTGTCCTGATTAACAACTTGGACAGAACAGAAGAACATAAATTCTATATGACACAGCTTCATGTATCGGACCAATGAATGTGTTAATGAGCTTCAAGTTTTATTTATCTTTATTATTATTAAAGTTTTATTTGATCCCAAGATTCAAATAGTTCTCACAGTCATCAATCACAGATAACGATTATTAATACAATAAAAACAATATACTGATGATAATTATATATGTAAGGCTTTACCTACCTTTTCTTTCCACGGAGTGAAAATTAACAATAATTGCTTTATTTATTGTTCGTTTAAGTTGATTAACAGATAGGTTTTCCATGTATAACCGAGACCTTCTTTACGTCTACACAGAGTACCAATTGATGAAGCTGTTGTTTGTACTCATTAAACCTAATGTTAATTAAATACAATTTAGGCGAATGGAAATTTGCTTCGTCGGCAGGTTTGCTGCAGCGGGGGTGTTTATGAATCTGTTAAATTTTATGATGCTCTGAAGGCTGGACATTGTTTTAAAGGTAATTTTATTTATATACTCATAGGTATGTGTCACAATTTCATTTTCTTTAGTTTTTTTTTGCCATAACTGCATGGTTTGCTGATTTGTTTGCTGTGTGAGATTAACTAATTTCAGCATGGTTTGTAATGATGAACGTTTCTTTTATTTATATGAATTGGTTTGTTTTATGTTTAGCATAGTTTTGACATTCTATTGTATTTTATTACTGAATAATATAATAAATCTCTTGAATCTTGAGTAATTTTTAGACACAATCGGTAAAATAATCCTATAGTGTAATTCAACTCAATCACATAATTAAATAGCAAAAAGTAATAAATAATATTCATATTTTATAATAACGTGTTATGGAATCAAATACAATACAATCTAAAACAGATAATTCACAAATAGCCTACAGTATTGATAACGATAAGATCAATGATTATGAAAATCATAGCAATCGATTTAAACCGGTGAGTCGCATATATGAGGGTAATGGTAGATTCAGGGTAATTTTAGGGTAAAATTAAAAGTTAGCATAACAGCAGAAATTTAATTAGGAACATGAAAAAAACTTAAAAATTTGGGAAAAACATACATTACATAATATCATGGCAAACCTGTGATATGCAACTCAACCGGTTTATTTTAATGGTATAAATTAATTATTTAATAGTAGGTATAAATAATGTAATAAGAGAAATTGAAATTCGCTTAGTCTGCTGGAGGCGGCATCACTAATAGAGGATTGAATTGAGGGTTATAAGCCAATCATCGGTCTCAAGTAAGAGACTCGACTCTCGGCTTTTTAAATATTAGAAATATGATTATTTGAAGAATCCAGGATATGCATGTAATTAGGAAAGAAAATTGGGGAGGTCATATACCAGCTACTACAAAGTCACTGCGAGAGTCTGCAAGTAAAAACCGCGTTTTCAGCATACTAACACTGGTTTAAATAGAAAAAACGTGATTTTTTTAAATCTATGTTAGGTTTCTTTGTTTGGGAAAGGTTCAGTTTTTTATTGCACCTAATAGAATTAATAATATAGATAAATATATTAAACGACAGTGGGTTAAAATTGGAAATTCAACTCGGGAGACACCTAGCGGCAGTTTAGACGAACTGTTGCGAACGTCAAAGCGAAAGCGCACATTGTGGCGATGGCGACTGAACTGACTTGACTAGCGAAGTGAGTGAAGTGAAGTGAGTGACGACAAGACGACTACGAAACGAACGGAACGAGTTTGGATTGGATTGGAGCGATTGGAGGAGCTGGTTGGTGAGGTTAAGACAGAAGAGGGAAGAGGTTAAGCTTTTAAGTATTGAAATTCATAGCACAAAAAATCGTTCAATACACGACGCTAGGAATAATTTAAGTGGATTGAATAAAGAATCCCTTAAAAATGTAAGTAACTTAGGCTTATGGCTTATCATTTCATTGAAACAATGATGTAGGCTAGCAGCAAAATATTTAACCAACTCCAACTAGGCCTAGGTCCTATCTCGCTACTGTATTGGTATCCTAGTTGTAGTGGTAGGCCTAACATTGGTACCATCAAACCATCTATTTACTATTTAGGCTACCAACAAGATCGTTGCAAAAACATTGATATATTTTACTATAACTTAATCGTTTGCTTTCTGCCTTAGCTAATTAACTTAGATATTAGCTAGAAGATTGGTCTTAGGCCCATTTGATAATTGGTGCCGTGATGGGATAAATGTTTGACATGCTAGAGCAGACGTGCTGCCGCTGAAATTTATTAAAATTAATTGATTTTTGGAAGCTTTTAAGTTAGTACATGACCCTCAACATTCTATTAGAGCCTATCTCATTCCCCAGATATCAAAGTGTTACCTACCTTCTTCCAATTTTAGAATAATTTTACTTAGGCTAGGTTATTAAATAATAAGTACCTTATATTTATTTATATTATAAGTATAACCTAGCAATAAGCTATTTTTTTCCTAGGGCGCTAGGCACGAGTCTGGGATTTTTTTACATTAGTTCAGGCTAAACCTAGGGGTTGCGGCATTAACTTATCACTTAACATAGCCTAGATAAAATTCATTGGTGATTTGGCGGGATTTTAACCCGGGACCTCAAGGGACTGAAGTCCCGCACTTTACCACTAGACCAGCTCGCTCTCAAAGCGATTCTTATTAGAGTAAGTTAGGCCTAGGCCTGGCACCTAACTTAAACTCCAAAGATATTAAAATGGAATTTTGATTAGGCTAGTCTAATTTTTAGGGTCTTTGATTAGGCTCTCTAGCCCAATTTTGATCTCTATTAAAGTTGATTGTATTTTGTTGTAATAGGCAATAGGTAATGTTGTCTTGACAATGCATGATATTTGTTGCATGTTATTGTATAAAAATCTAATGTGCAAATAAACAATTTTATTTTATTTGAATAGGTCTGCAGCTACAAAACCCAAGTCAGAAATGAGCCAGGAAGAATTAGCTAGGAGGGAAGAAGAGGAATTCAACACGGGACCGTTGTCAGTTTTAACACAGTCTGTGAAAAACAATACACAGGTATGTATGTTAAGCTGGAGTGAATATAGACTCAATCTGATTCATTAAAAGAGTTAACTAAGGCTAAAGAGCTAAGACCTAAGTTATGTTCAGTTAATTCATTTAAGACTGGTCTCACGTAAGGTTACCTTGGGGGCTTTGTTACCGAGTAAGATCAGCTGTTTTTAAGCTTTGCTTTAACCAAAAGTATGGAAAAAAGGTCATAAACTCTTCAAGACAGTGTTACAAGTGTAGCTTCGTTATTGCATTTTGTGGCACAGTCTTGTCCAATCGCCACGGCTGGCCAATGGGGACATGGTAACTGAGTTGACTTACATGTTACCCTGACGATTTGAGCTCTGAGGTCTTTCTGCATTCAAGATTTTGATTCTTTTTTTAAAACAAAAAGAGGTTGGCGGCCTCTTAAAACTTGCATTTGCCCGTCCACATAGACTAGCCTACAGGTCTGTGTGTGGAACGTATCCAGCAAAGTAAGTGGTGAGCCGGTACAGTACAAAAGGTGAACTGTACTGTACTGATAAAATGTTTGTGGCAGTGACCAGGATCCAAAACTTCGACATCACTGCCTTGGGCCCGAAGTCCATGACGCTACCAACTGAGCCACCGACTCACCTAAGAAATTAACCCTAGCGCTGGCAAACGCCGGATATACGGCGCGAAAGGCCGCGGCCGAAATGGCAACGCCGGATATACGGCGCCAATGCAGGTGTTACGGTAGGCCTATATAACTTTTTTTTTTTTTACTAGTTTTTTTTGCTTTTTAGGGCAACTTTTGTAATAAATAAGTTAAATAATTCAAACCAGAGTACCCTGGAATTATATATTATGTAAGTTGTACGGTTTTGTACATGACCTGGGTTGGATGATTATTTGGTACTAGCGCGGGGGTACGATCAACATAATAATAGGGCTATCAAACAAAATACACAAAGTAAGCTATATAAACTATATATTTTTGGAATCAGCACAAAATTTACTACAACTTTACAATTTAGCTTATGATGATAAGTCTAACCTGCACTTAGCTACACGACGGAATATAAAACATTTTATAAAAAAATTAATAATGCCTAAAATTCGGAAAAACTAAAAAAAAATTTTTTTGTGGTAACCATGTAAACCACCTATATTATTGTTCTTTGTTTTATTCTGAACAAAATGATATATAATAATCCATAGTTATGTTGCTATTTCTAATTTTTATGATGGTTTAAAAATGATATTACATAGTTAATAAAATCCCTATGCCAGTACAGCGTTACACTACTGCCAGCTCTAGGGTTAAAAGGTTAAATTAGAAGGTGATTCTAATACCTGTGCATTGAATATTAATCTTACTAATGTGGCTTAGCCGTTGGGTGGGCTATCACAATAAACAAAGTCTGGCTTGGGATGAAGTTGACGGGGCGATCCCCACACAACATCTGTTTGTCTTCTCTTTACATTTCGCATAGAGGTGAACACAGATTTTACATTTTTCTTTTTGCATTATTTTGGTTAGGCCTATATGTGAACATCATGTTCAAATGTATATATGCTATAAAAGAGCCATATAAAAATTCTGAAACATGTCTAGTTTTACAGGCTTTCTGACACAGAATTTGTTAGACAAACAAGTAAACCACAAAATTCTCATGTTTAGAATACAAATTTAAAATTACTGTTAATAACTTGCGGTATCAAAACTGAAGAATATTCACATTAGTTTTCTTTGCTCACCAGTTTATTAATTAATTAAAACTCTATGACAATCACACCCGCATCGCCAGACGACTTACAGTGTAATAATAAGTCACCCCCTCTGCCACCCCACCAGTGCCACACCCCAACTGCTCACAGTTCAAGATCATACCTGTATATTAGCCTATATCAATAGTCAATTATCTCACACCCACAATAGATCCTGGAATGGTTTCCTGTGCGGTCCTGCATTCACTCTGCCATGGATAGATAGTGTTAGCGGTAATAGTTTCTGGATAGTGACGACAAACTGTTGCTATTATGTTCAGCATCCCAAAGAACTAAATGGATCCAACCAATTATTCGAAGAAGAAACCAATTCGGCCGATTTCACCATATAACGCATGACCTAATGAATGGTGAGGGAGGGTAAAAGCCTAGTTTGCTAATGTGCATTCGCCTATTCGCACATAGCTAGTTGGCATAATGGCAGCAACATTGTCTGCGTATTAACCCTTTAGAGACCGACTCTATATGACACGCTGCTAGGACCAAGGTACTTTTAACAGTTTCTGCAATGTTAGACAAAATGCTATAGGCTAACTTTTGAATAGCAGCCCTCATTAACATTTCTTGCATGCTGTTGATTTTTTTTTATATTAAAACTTATTGTTTATTTAAACTGTTGATACATCGGAATTTTGTCTTTTTAGCAAAAAAATACTAACTTCCAAAAAATCGTAAGTTGGTCTCCTAAGGGTTAATTCAGTGGTATGAACATGCTCATTTAAATAGCATTAAGTGCTATGTTAGTGGCGTCTATGACGTGAAAAGTTTTTTAGGCATACATAAAACACCTACAGTAAATTACAAACTACCTATCTTTGTTTTATAAAATGTGTATATTTTTTCAGGTTTTAATCAACTGTAGAAATAACAAGAAGCTGCTGGCTCGCGTAAAGGCATTTGATCGGCATTGCAACATGGTTCTGGAGAATGTCAAGGAAATGTGGACTGAACAACCTGCGACAGGAAAAGGAAAAAAGAAGGTGAATATAGATTGGCTTGAACTTCTTGTTCCAACATGTCTGCACTTTATTAAACCTAGTAAGGATTCCAAAGCTCATTGAAATGTGCTTTACGAGGGGTCCGCGGAGTTGGCTAACTCTGGAACTCGCTAACCCCATTTTAAACACCCTCTCTTCAAATTTGGTCGATGAGAGGAACTCACTAACTTGTTCGGTTTCGGAATTGGCTAACTCCGGAACCCGCTCTAGAACCGGGATAGCGAATCCCGTCCTCGTACGGAAGTCGCTAACTTGGTCCATCGGCGGAACTCGCTAACTCCCAATCAGAAGCCTCGCGGGCCGTCCAATGGGAGCCAAGCACGAAAATTTTTGGCCAGTGTTGCCGAAAGTATCGTTTCCGCACTATAATGTCGTATTCTACAAATAATTAGGAGTAAGAGCAACGTAGTCGATAAAATAAATATATTTGGAAGTATGTTTATTATTATTCTTATGATTATTAGGGTGGAAAATGCATTATAGTCTTACCATAGACTAACCAACACAGAACACAAGTAAACTTTACATCTCAATGTAAACTTTGTAGCTCGTTTTTTGTGTCTAGTTCATGTCCGGTGACACTGATCGATCGCTAGTGTCGACGAAATTTTGTTTCTATTATTTTATAGTTAACTTCATGATTTGTTCTTTACTGTTTGGTTATATAACTAGGGGACGTGTTATTAGTTGTGATTAGAACATTTTTATTTGGTTAAAAGAGGTTTTAAATGACTGAAAACAAAAAACAATTATTGTAAACAAAACACAACCTCTAAAGACAGTGCACCAGTCAGAACTAACAATACAACTGTCTTCAGCTGATCCATAAGGATGAGAAATGTACTAATATAAGGGAGTGTGTTTTATATGTGGTTTTCTTACTTAAATAGTAGTTTATTGGGATACAAAAAGATAATACTGTACATTTAATTTGGATCTTTTACATGTTATGAAATGTCTATTTTCGTAGTCCCCCAATCGTTTCTTTTATTCGAATAAATACCATTTTGTGAACATCTGCAAATAAAATGATTAAGTTCATATTTTATATAGCCTACTGGGCTTGTCATCTTGAATCATAAATTAAGATACAATTTGCACATTAAACGTCATTACAGAAATACATTGTAGTGGTAATGTATTTTTAAATAGAGCTATTGAATTTAAATAAATATTTATCAATACATTATAAAGTGGTAGGCCTAATGTATTCATGGATTGCATTAAAAATTGGTCTATGCATAAATAAAACTTGTAAATTTCTGTTATCGTAGGCTATTAGTGTAAAACCCGGGTCATCCTCTTAATTTTGTTCAATTAATATTAATTTTACGTCTTTCAGTTGGCCTACTTTTTAAAAGTCTGGAGTTTTTATGGTTCTAAATGGACCCAGGCGTTCTTTTTTGTTACCATATTTATGAACTATTAATGAATTCAGTTTAAACAGTAGAATTAAGTAACAGTAGTTGACGATCCAGAGGCCACACCATCATGAAGAACAAGATAACAACAGTAACAACAGGATAGGCTATATTAACAAAAATAAATAACAATGCAATAAATAGAAAGTTTGGAAACATGCAAAGATTGATGCAGGAGTTCAGGATAGAGTAGGAGTTCTTTCAGGATGGAATAGGACAAATGTCGAAGGTAAGCATTTCCCTCAGTAAACCGATGCCAACACACGCACAAATTTTATTATATGAATATAATATCTTCTCCTATTATTTACTAGTAGGTAGTGCTTAGGTCTACAATCTAAAAACTGTTTTAAAACATGTAACATTATTACTAAAAAATTCAACACATTTTAGAATTAGGCAACTATTTACTAGTAGGCCTACAACACTTTGCTTTAAACCATTATGCCTAGATTTAGGCCTACAGAGCTATTCTATGAATTGATATTAGTTGGATGAAAATGAAGTTTGATGATTCAACGACGAACCTTTAATTTTAAATCTATGAATTAGTTATAGTACAGGTAAAATTATACTAAAAAACCAGTAGAAAACATAAAAATTAGTCCATTCATGAAACTTTCAGGAAACGTAGTAATTACCATTAGGTATTGGAATCTAAAGAGTCCCTAGTGATTGTGGGGGTGGAAGTACCATTTTATGGGGTTTTAAGTTTATGGGGGTAGTGATTTTGAGAAAATTTTTATTTATGGGATCCAAGCAAGTGGGGTGTCGTTTTCTATGTTTCTTAGGATGCAGAACCGAAAAAGAACATGATAAAAGCAATAAAACCGACAGTTTATCAGAAAAAGACTAATTTATTAATGAAAAACTAAATATGACAAATTAATTAAGGTAAAATAATCCAGTTAATTAATATCAATCACCTATTACAAAATTGATCATGAGTCTGTGTCACATGTTAAAGTTGTGAGGAAAATTAACCAGAAACTGAAAGTTACGACTCTTTAACCACCACGTGTCATATTGTTCATCAGCTACTGATGCATCATCACCTTCCATGGAATCGTCAGGGTCTCTAACTCGTTCTTCTCCATCATCGTTTTGACTTAACACTGACAGCTTAGTAGTGGGGATGGGTAGCAGAAACATATTTCAGTTCTGGCGACGACCCTGCAACTTAGGGTGAAGATAATATATAAGACCAAGTATGTAAAACTGCCCAGACCCGAATTTTTAAGGACCTTGGTCGCCCGTAATGACGACATCAATATGGCGCTCGTAAGACGATGCTGGGTCGCCATGAATTGGTTATTATACCAAAATGCCTGAACAGATTTTAATTAAATTTGGCATACAAGTGCTTGAATAATATATCTAATCCCAGTTTGTCAATGGTCGAGTTTGGTTAGGTAATTTCAAAATGGCGGCCGTTAATAATTGAAATAATTAAAAATTGTTTAATGTTTTGTTTTTTCAACTCTCTCCAGAAATCTGCAGCGATATTTCATTTTCCTTGCAATCACAGGTTGTGATGCCATCTCTGGCAACTAACGTCCTTTCAAAAGTACACGTCTACAGCCATTAACGCTGTTAAAGTTTGATGTCATATCATATAGAAAAGTACAACAAATCTTTGGATTGATTCTAACGAGTTCGCAATCCAGCATGATCAGACCATGGGAACGGGGTTTTTGGGGGGAATTTATGGGGTCAAAATTGGGTTTTGTCATGTTTATAACCCTCTATAACATTTTACAATTTCTCTCTAAACCATTTTGGATACCATGATGAATTTGAATACCTTAAAAACCAAATAATGTTGTTTATTGAAGTGTTTTTGTACGGATATTGGTTACCTACCGAGAAAATTCAAAAATTTTAAATTTATCATTCACATTTTATTCTTATGGAGAATAAGTAAACTGTTGTAGTTTACTCATTTATGGATATATTTTGATAAAACTTGGCAAATTTATTTATTTTGACCTAAGCTATAATGTTTTAATAAAAAAAACAAAAACACACACTTTATTATCCTCTCCGTAGCAGCAAACCTAGGTACTAATTAAACTTAATGTTATTGAAATAGATTTAATTGAAAATCAAATCAGGCAATTGGAAACTCACTTAATCTGCAGGTTTGCTGCGGTAGGGGTATTTTGCCTATTCCATGAAATGCAGGGATGGCATCACAACCTGTGATTGCAAGGATAATGAAAGATCGCTGCAGATTTCTGGAGAGAGTTGTAAAAACAAAACATTAAACAATTTGTAATTATTTTAATTATTAACGGCCGCCATTTTGAAATTACCTAACCAAACTCGACCATTGACAAACTGGGATTAGATATAGTATTCAAGCACTTGTATGCCAAATTTAATTAAAATCGGTTTAGGCATTTTGGTATAGTAACCAATTCATAGCGACCCAGCATCCTCTTACGAGCGCCATATTGATGACGTCATTACGGGCGACCAAGGTCCTTAAAAATTCGGGTCTGGGCGGTTTTACATACTTGGTCTTATATATTATCTTCACCCTAAGTTGCAGGATCATCGCCAGAACTGAAATATGTTTCTGCTACCCATCCCCACTACTAAGCTGTCAGTGTTAAGTCAAAACGATGATGGAGAAGAACGAGTTAGAGACCCTGACGATTCCATGGAAGGTGATGATGCATCAGTAGCTGATGAACAATATGACACGTGGTGGTTAAAGAGTCGCAACTACCAGTTTCTTGGTTAATTTTCCTCACAACTTTAACATGTGACACAGACTCATGATCAATTTTGTAATAGGTGATTGATATTAATTAACTGGATTATTTTACCTTAATTAATTTTTCATATTTAGTTTTTCATTAATAAATTAGTCTTTTTCTGATAAACTGTCGGTTTTATTGCTTTTATTACGTTCTTTTTCGATTCTGCATCCTAAGAAACATAGAAAACGACACCCCACTTGCTTGGATCCCATAAATAAAAATTTTCTCAAAATCACTACCCCCATAAACTTAAAACCCCATAAAATGGTACTTCCACCCCCACAATCACTAGGGACTCTTTAGATTCCAATACCTAATGGTAATTACTACGTTTCCTGCAAGTTTCATGAATGGACTAATTTTTATGTTTTCTTAGGTGAGTTTTACCTGTACTATTATGAAAGTTACGATGGTTGATGACTGTATTAATTAATGGTTTTGGTTTATTACGATATTACAATTAAATTTGTTTTCCGTGTTTGAGAACTTGCGTGTATTTTAGCTTCATTTTGTAAAGGTTTAATTATCTAGTACGGTACCAATTAAATGGAATTTTCAATATTTTCATATTCTATTATTTTCTTTTATAGGCCTACTGATGGCATTTATTTTTAAGATCGAAATCATAAAAATTTAATTGGCCTTTGTACAGTTAAATAAAAAAACGCATTTTCATGATTTTTTAAATGTCTTTGAATTACTTTGGGCTAGTTATCTGTTAAAAGTGGAATTGATAACAAAAAACAATAAAATTTACTGTATGTTCATTGACAATGACATTTTGAAATAAGGCAGTGTACGATTATTTCGTCATACAAGGTTGGCAACCTCCGTGCAGTGGGCGTGACCGGGATAGTGACTTCCAGAGTTAGCGAATTCCGCCGCGAGACAAAATCGAGTTAGCGGGTTCCGGAGTTAGCCAATTCCTGATTGAGACGGTTAGCCAATTTCCAGAGTTAGCCAGTTCCGACACACGACCGGGTTTGCGAGTTCCTGAGTTAGCCAATTCCTACATCTCCTTTACGAGTGATTCACTTACAGGAGTTAATCTAAAAAATTGTTTGATATATTCCAAACTTTGAAATAATAACCACGTGCATGATTCAGCTGGAATACCTCAAATGTTGAGGTTGTTTCAGCTAAAGGTGTTTATTTTTAAACGACATGGTTTTTGCTTTTAGGCAACATTTTATAAATACAGTTAGATAAATATTTTTAGACAGTGCTCATCTTTTTGAATTAAGAGGAATACAGTCCTTGTGAGTCCCTAGAGCCAAGTTTCCATTACTCTAAGTCGCAGGTATATGTCGTGCACATGGGCCATAAGTTCCGCGACTACGACTGACATAGGATGTCAATTCTCTTATTGTGATGAGTTTTGGTATTTAATTAAGATTATATTGTGTTCTACAAATCACTATGGATGACATATCAGCCACTGCTTCTTTAATTATGGCTGGTGCATGTTATAATGAATTTAGAAGAAAAATACAAAAACTGCCCGGATGTTCAATATGATAAGTAGTTTTTATGGCTATAATAAAGTGGCTACGAAAATTTTCTTCTTATGACTTTCCATGATTTTGAATGTTTATAAGAACTGAATGTAGGCCTACAGGCAATTGAGAAAAACAGTGATTGTCGAAAACCTATTCCTCCTGAGAAGCTACCACTAAAATTTTTAGCTACGGGCAATAGCTACAGTTCATTGATGTATCTTCACAATCACATGAGATGAAAATCAACGAGATCAAGATTCATACCTGTAGTGTGCATGCACAGCCATTGTTGTAAGAGCTACATTCAGATAAGAATCGACCCGACAAATATCTATTAGGGATGGACGAGATTGGATTTTTAGTTCGAGACGAGATTTTTTATTTCTCATAAAATTTCAAGACGAGATTGAGACGGGATTTCCCTTCTCATACACAACGGGAAATGCACGTTCAAAATTTTTACCTGATTTTGTAACATTGTTAGATGACTGTTCAAATACAAAAATAATGATAATAGGCAAGAATATTTACAATATATTATTAAAAAACATCAGCATAACATTTTTTTATTAATCACGCCTAACTTATTAAAAATGCCTACGATTAGGAAACATAGTGATATCAGTAAGGATAGAGTTAAACTTATCCTAAAATTAAATAAATCATAAAATAAAAGCAATATTAATTTTTATAAAATAGTTACTTGTTTTGACTTTTTATAGTAATAAAACATTCCTCACACTGCTTACACTTAACAAAACTTCTCAAATGTTATTAAAGTAATATTATTAAAATAATTAAAGTAATATTTACATTAAAAGAATTTTTTAAATAAAAACGCCTTCGCAAAGGAAACGCAACTGCAACACGCTCCTGTATTGCGGGTATTGCATGGACTTTCTGCAGGCGTTTTTAATTTTTTTTTTTTTAATTCTCGTCTCGATAAAAATCTCGGCCAAAAAAAATCTCGTCTCGTGTAACGAGAATTAAAATTTCCCGAGATTTCGAGACTTGACCATCCCTAATATCTATACAACCTTGAATAAATCTATGATCTATCCATCTATATATATATATATACCTACTATAGATGAAATAATTTTCTTGATATTTTATTGACCATAATTATCAACTCCTAAATATTTTTCTAGACATATTTGGTACAGTATAAAATTAAAGGTCTTATATTAGATGTGCGTTTTTGTAGGTTTGAGTGATATTTCTAAAATGCCTTAGTCCTTTGGCTGTTAAAATTTTAATGTATGTGGTAATAGTAGTTGTTCGACAGACCTGCGCAGTGGGCGTGTGCCGACTGTTTCCATTCCAAACTGGACACATGTTTTATCGCGCAGTTGACGAGCACAAAAGTCGCACAGGCACTTGTGCCAGGCTGTTTCCATTCCTACAAAATATGTCTAGGTTTATTATATGAGTTTATTATTTATGACTTATATACAGCAATATTAAGGTAGCCTATTGATGTATTCAGTCTTGTGTTTAATTTAGTTACTTTTATTTATCAATTACTTACTCCCATGACCATTTATTCTTGAGAATTAATTTGACCACACCAACTTACTTCCCCCACTCCCTCTGATCTGGCCCATATTCTTCATCAGCTCATCTACATTCTCATGTCTGTGGCTTCTTTGTCCATACCTTCATTGGTAATCAGGGGTCTCCTTTTATACGGAATATAATCTGCCTCATCTCAACCAATAATACAATCTCTAAAATATAGTGTAAGCCATAGTAATGTTTCAATATAGACTGGGTTTTCTGTACATTTATTATTACTAGAAGAGGTCTTCCAGTGGTTGAAAACTCGACCAAAAGTATCTTCAAACTTCTCTATTTTCACCCTACGCTGTAAATAAAACATGTGATTGTTATTTCTTCCATTTGTTTTGATTATCTGTTTATATTGCGTTGTTATTTCGTCTCCAGCATGGCAACCCACAAGGTCCATGTAATTTTTTTTATTTATAATTCTTTTTTTGTGCTTATTTTTTAGTCTATTTAATTTATGAAGGGATTCTACACATCTATGGAAATATATTTCCAACAGTATGCGTAGATTTCCCCTGCGATGCACACAAGCTGAGAAAAAATGTTTTAAGGAAACATGCTTGCCTATTAATAAGTGGATTTTTAACCTAATTATTCTAATTTTTCCAGTCCAAGCCAGTCAACAAGGACAGATTTATCTCCAAGATGTTTCTCCGAGGCGATTCAGTCATTTTAGTGCTTAGGAATCCTCTCGCCACTGCAGCTGGCAAATAATCTCAAACCTGTGAATTCTTGAAAATATAAACTATTTTTGCAATTCTAGTTTTATTGTCCTTTTCTTTTTAAGTGATTGTATCAGAGTGGTCAACTAATTCATAGAAAACCTTTGTAGCTGGTTGGATTTTGCACCGTCACTCTCAACCAAGAATTTATCCGAAAATCTAATTATTTAATCCAGACTGTTCCCCTGACACATTCGGGTGAACCTTTTCAAGTGCACTGTAAAAGTGTTCATTTTTAAAATTTCACCCAAACTAATTACAAACCTCGAACTTGTTGTGCACAGAACACTAAAAAAGGCACTTCCCTATATAGGAAATCACCAGAATAGTAAATTCACCAGTAGTAGTAGTTGTAGAGGTTATCTTTGGTAGGTATGCAGAGCTAAATTTATATGAGTTTTGCATTGGCATTAAATGTGACAAACAAGAAAAAATTTAGTTTTATCAAATGTACTTTGTACCATAGAGTAAATTAATTTTTGCATGTAGCACATTTACCAAGGGTTTCTGGTATATCCATTGCCTTGCCATAGATTATTTTATTCAGTCATTTTAGTTCAGATGGTCCATCTGTTAACATTAAAATATATTACATAATATTAACTGTTTCACTTTTATTATTTTGAGAAAACCTTTTCTTGCCTTGTGCAGTACAGAACTGCATATTCAGTGCATAACTAGTTCCAATGTAAAATAATCAAAGGAGATTAACTCAAACAAACATGTTAGTATTAATGAAATGGTAACCAAACTAACTAACAATAAGACTTCTACATCTAAACATTTTTCCCATTGTTTTTTAAGCAATTATATGAAGGTTTACAGCAAAACCTCACTAACTCGACAATATTATATGGATCTTAAGTTTGTTGAGTTTTCCAGAACATTGAAATTTTTTAACGGGTTTTAATAAACGAATACATCACAGTCTAATTTTTACATATTAGTTTGTTACTTAAGTGAGTATTTTTACATATTTAGTAAACAATATTCAACAATTAAAACTAAGTGTTCTGAAAATTTGTTTTTTTACTTGCCCCTGTCAGCTGTTGTCTGTCGAATTCGTGAGGTTCTAGGTACTGTTTCTGTGTACTTATGATCCATCAAAAAAAATTTGTTGGAATGAAAACTAAATAAAGAACAAGGTATTTTTTGTATAATAGTAGAACTTTGGGTGTATTAAGTTACACAATAACTTTCATTTTCTTTTTTCTTCTATTGTGTATCTTTTAGTAATTTTTCCTGGTATATAGTTGTTGGTACAAAAAATAGCGCCTATGTAATTTTTTAGTTCATTTACTGCATTAGTCATGTCACAATCTCTTATTATAATAAAATGGATCTAATTTCTCCCAGGAAAGTAATAGAAAACCGTAGTATTTTTTCAGTAAATAGGTTAAGCTACATTGTCCATTGCCAAGTGGCTCTAGGGTAATTGGCAACATATTACCATAGTTGTTTTGAAGCAAATTGCTTCATTATTAATTCACAAAGTACATGGTCAACCCTTTCAACCGGTGTAGTGATTTTGAGCCCCGCACTGAAGTGGTTGCAATTATATTGCTAATCACTGGGTTATTTTGGACCCCAAACCTCCAACAATCGCAGGACAATACATCTGCTGGAATTGCTAAGAAATACAACCCAATGTCACTCTTGGAGACAGCGAAAATGCATTCAATGACCTCTATTGGAAAACTTAGGTAAGACAACACAATTTTAACTAACTCAACTATCTACTACTACTATCTAATTTTGTTTGAACATATTCTTTGTCGGGACAACTATTTCTGACACATGTTTTAAGTTTTATCCTTTTAATATTGTCAAATAAACGTCATAAAACAAATACACAACTCTTAAGATGTTCTGAAAACAATTTTCGCAGAGATATCTGGATGGGAGATCACTTTATTAATATACAGGGTGACAAGTCTTGGGACGACTTTATAACTTCAAAACGAAAAAAGATATCACAACTAAATCTGGCATATCATTACTGGTAATAGTTGGCTACTTTTTTGTATCCATGGTGAGTGGATGTCACTTATATTGGTTGGCCTATAGTAATTTAAAAATCTTGAAGGTAAGCAAAGGTTGATATGTAGACCTATTTCAGCACTATGCTGCCCTTGGGCTCAACCCCAAAAATATTGTTGTCTTCTATAAACATTGTAAATTTGTTTAAGCAAAACTTTGTAAACTTCCTAAGGTTTGGGTGTTTAATCATTTACTATGGGTAGCTAAGAGTAATAACATGCAATAAACATCCATAAAGGTATGGTAACTATAGCTAAGCTGTACTGAGTCTTGTGATGAAGCGGTATACAGTCAGCAAGCTAACTCAATTGTCAATCAATCATCAACTAATTGAGATGGGGACGCCACCTAGGTGGGTATTTTAAATTTTAACCCAAATATGAGTGAAGGATGAGTGTAGAATGGTGTGAGATGATCTGTGTAGCTTTGTTACTGACTAAGATCAGCTGTTTAATTAGCCAGGATTAATTTAAAGTCTAATGATCAGGGACAGCTGGGCCCAGTTTTGAAAAGCTACTGACTTTTCTCAGGATCGAACCAGGAACATTTTGATTGTTAGGCGAGCATTATAACCACTCAGCTACCCAGCCAGTCACTAACAGATTGTGATAACAATTGTAACTTGTGCTGTTACAGCAACTACTCGAGACTTAAATTTTTCATCCTTCAAGTACAGGAAAAGACAATTACGAGATCTTTTCCCAACCATTATATGCAAAGTTCGTTTCGGTGTTGTCTATCACCTAATTAAAAATTATTTTAACAAAATAAAAGTATTTACCTACAAACTATTGATTTGGTATTATAACCAAATATGATACCAAATACATGCTCACATTGTACATTTCAAAATATAATAAAACTAAAACGTGTTGCGTTCTCAAATGTAACCGAACATTAACAAATAGGATGAGACGTCTACTTGCACAGTAGGAACTCAAGGGTAACATGTAATTACTCAACTTGTAAACCGACACAAATGGTCTAAGCCTCCTCTACCACTACTGGCATAGATTTGAATTTACAATGAACATATGCTAGAGACTGACATAAGCCAACTGGACATACGAAGTGATGTGACGATGACGACCACAGAGATAGTAGAGGTACCGAGCTGTTGTTGTGGAGTTATAGAAATGTGCAGTTTTGGATGGTATCAAACAGTAGTTGTGGAGGAATAAAATTGTAGTTGTGGAGGAATCAAATTGTAGTTGTGGAGTTAACAAACTGTACCATAGTGGTGGAGGTATCGAATTGTGGATGAGGAGATACCAAGCTGTAGTTGTAAAGGTGTCAAGCTCTAGCTGTGAAGGTATCAAATTGTAGTTGTGGATGCACCAAGCTGTAGTTTAGGAAGTATCAAGCTAAGCTGTAGTTTTTTAGTTATAGATCTGTAGTTTTAAAGGTATCAATATGTAGTTGTTGAAGTACTGAACTGTACTTGTAGGTGTTTTGTGCTTTAATTGTGTATGTTTTTAGCCATAGCCACATGGAGGTACATAACTACAGTTGTGGAGATACCAAGCTGTACTTGTACAGCGATATAATTTCGAGGTATTGAGGTATAGTTGTAGATTTTTGACGCTGTAATTGTGCATGAATCGAGTTGAAGTTGTAGAGTTATCGAACTGTAGTTGCAGATGTATCAAATTGTAGCTGTGGAGGTACAGAGCTATATAGTTGTGGAGTTTTTGAGCTTCATCTGTGGAGGTATCAAACTGTTTATTTTTTTATTTTTGAAGCTGTTATATTAGAGTTATTGAATTGTATTTGTGGAGGTATCAAGTAGTAGTTGTTGTGTAAACAAACTGTAACTGTAAAGGTAATTGTAGTTATGGAGGAATGAAATTGTATTTGTTGAGGGCTGAGGCGCCGAGCTGTAGTTATGGACTTAACAAGCTATGATTGAGGATGTATCGAATTTTAGTTGTGGTGTGGAGGTAGGTACCGAGCTGTAGTTTTGAAGGTACGGCGATATAGTTTTGGAGGTACATTGAGGTATAGTTGTAGATTTTTGAAGCTGTAATTGTGGAGATATCAGGCTGCAGTTGTGGAGGTTTCAAGCTGTAGTTGTATAAGTCCAGCTGAAGCTTCGGATGATTCAAGGTGTAGTTGAGGAGGGATCAAGCTGTAGTTGTCGAGGTATAGATGCTGCAGATGTAAATGTTTCGAGCTGTAGTTGTATAGGTTTTGAGCCGTAGTTGTCTAGGTTTTGAGCTGTAATTGTGGAAGTATCGAACTATGGTTGTGGAGGTACAAAGCTGTAGTTGTGGAGGTCCAGCTGGACCACAACTACATCCAGTTTAGGTCCAAAACTAGCTACAAACCTTCAAAACTATATTATTTAAATGTAGTACTGTAATGGATGTATCGAGCTGTAGGTGTGGAGGTATCAATCTGTAGTTGTGGAGGTACATAGCTGTAGTTATGGAGGTTTCGAGCTGTTGTTATCTAGGTATTGATCTGCAGTTTTGGAGGTATCAAATTGTACTTGTAGAGGTATCTAGCTGTAATTGTTCAGGTACCGAGCTACAGTTATGGAGTTGTGTAATTGATCTAGTTGTAGTTGTGGAGATATCGATCTGTAGTTGTGGATGCATCGAGCTGCAGTTGTAGAGGTATCAAACTGTAGTTGTAGATACATCGAGCTGCAGTTGTGGAGGTATTGAGCTACAGTTGTGGAGGAATCGAGCTGCAGTTGTGGATGTATCAAGCTGTAGTTGTGGTGTTATCGAGCTGTAGTTGTGGATGTATCGAGCTGTAATTGTGGAGGTATCGAGCTGCAGTTGTGGATGTATCGATTCGTAGTTGTGGAGGTATCGAGCGCAGTTGTGGAGGTATCGAGTGTAGTTGTGGAGTTATTGAGCTGTAGTTGTTGAGGTCCAGGTGCAGTTGTTGAGCTATAGGACTATTTACATGGCTGTGCATAGCTTTAGTGGTGAAGGTTTGTGTCTGAAGTTGTGGAGTTATCTAATCGTAGTAGTTGAGTTTTCGAGCTTAAGTTTCATGGAGTTACATAGCTATAGTTGTATAGTAATGGGTAGTCGTTTTTTAAGAGGTTGATGACCTCTTCCTTTATTCTTGTATTTACCCGTCCACATAGACTATTATAAGTCCCCGTGTGTGAAACATATCCAGCATAGTAGGGGGTGAGCCGGTACAGTACAAAGGTGAACTATACTTATAAAAATAATACTGATAATATTTAGTGATAGGATCCACCGTTCTTCATTGTTACTATTAAAATAAGCTTGTTCAATTAGGTAATGTGTGTGCACGTCTTCTTCTGATGAAATAGTGGGCGTTGTATTTGCTTCTTGTTCATAATATCCTAGTTTCAAACTATGGTTGAATTTAACAACCCAAAACCAATAATAGGGATTCTATTTTAATTCCTACAATAACATCATTTAACTTTCGAAAAAAAAATAAATAGAAAATAAATTTGTCTAAAGACTTACTTAGGCAGAATTGTGTAATAAATCGGTTTTATTGCGAGATCTTTATAGTCGACCTTTTGTAGAAGCAGACAAAACGTTTAAATTGAATCAGTTATATTTGTGAGTCATCTCTTTAAGATAGTCCCAAATCAGCTAAATCTTGTTATAATAACAATTGTTGTTTAATTATTTTCACATTTTGCACAACTAAAGTGAGTATTACGTTTTTTCTCGGAAATCTAAAATCATTTCCTGATAAATGTACATATCTAAATATCCGTATAAACATGCTTTTTTCCGAAATAACTAATTTTAATTTGACATATTCTAAAAAACATATTAAGGAACCACGTAAATACAGCACGAGACAAAAAATCTGGTAATTTAGAACCCGTAGTTTTCTACCAGTAAACTAACATACCCATCGGCATTTAGTATACTTTCTAATTCATTTGTCAAATAAATTATTGGGTATCAAAAATTAAATTACTGTAATACACTTTATTCTCCCCTGCCAAGGAACACTGTTTACAGGCTGTGATGAAATTAACTGAAGATAGAACCGAAGGAGGCAGTAGATCATATCAACAGGTGGGTAAATGAAGTCAGTCCTCAAGGGAGTTGCGAAGGGGTGGTGGCGGGTGGGGCACCGTGGTATATAAGGGGTACGCGCCACCAGTAGAACATAACAGGTGCACCCCTAGTCCAGGTGAGTAGGCTGTGTACACTATATACCATCTAGCACACACGCCACACACCACACTTGCTATCTCTAGTTTACAATAAGTTCCGAACAATACTCCAACTGTTCGAATACACTTTTAACATATATTTTATGTTGATTCACTTTCATTTTTTCATCTATATCTGACGTAAATTGTATTTTCTAAATATATCTTGTTTCTATAGTTTATCATGTTGAAGTAGTAATTCATTCGATAATAACCTTAATATTCCGAGTAATAATAATATAAACAGTAAAATATGACTATTTGAAAACTAAGCTAAGATTAGTCGTGAAAATGTGAAAGTGTTATCTTATTTAGCAGCATTATAGTGATTATATACATTTTAGTGTCAAACAATTTGGTTGATCTAGTTAACATTAGCTACAAAATTGTAAATGTTAAAATATCTCTAGCTCAACTTAAAACGAATTTACTTCATCCGGATTTTGATAATATATTGGTGTATTAACTCCAAACCATGCATGTTAGTTTGCGGAGGTATCAGATAGTATACGTAGTCCCAACTCAATTTTTCCGCTTATTAAAAATATAGGGAATACATTGAAGATTTTTGCTGTGCGTATGGTAAAGAAATGGTCGTAATCGTCTCCAACTAGCTGTTATAGTCCTACATTACTTTTTCAATCGGACAAAGAAGTTATTAAATCGTTAGAATAAAATGTTCGGTCTCGTTTATATTCCACTAGACACAACACAACCCACAATGTCCAATTAACAGAATCTAATTTCGACCAAGTTTAAAATTACAATCGACCAGTTCAACTGATAATCCATGCTCTCATATTACAATTAATTCGCATGTCGAATTCCAATTGTTATGTTTTCGTTTGAATTTTTTGTGCACATTTTAAATTTGTAAGCCGAGATAAACATTATAATAAAATATCATAATAGATTGTACATACAAATTAAGGCGTGTTTTTCCAAGTAGGCCTACTAGGTTCAAAGAGCCTAGGGCATTTTTCTAATTCAATAATTAATGGCTGCCATTTTCAGGATTTAAATTAACTTTTAAATACGTTGATTAAATTATTTATTAAACTAGTTTATCTGAATCAATAATTGTTTATACAAAAACAACTGTGGGTTTTTTTTATGTTGAATGACACTGTATTCCTCTCATCTTATGGAAATGAAAATTTAATTATTAAAAGAATGTTTTTATATATTAGTAATTAAAAGTCAAAATTCCTCGGCTTATACTAAAACTATACAGTTTGACAGGAGATAAGTAAATAATGTTAGTAAAATATCTGTATGATTTATAATACTGACTATATCCAATAGGCCTAGTCTCGAGCGATATAATGTCCAGTAAGAGCTACGGGCTATGTGTATTCACTCGCGATTTAGACGACCAAACTACGCATAGCTTAATTGAAGAGGCGTTTGCATGTAACATTAAATTTTTATTGGTGGATTCAAGCTCTAAAGTCACAGTTTAGATGATTATTCTTGTCCTGAGAGTGAACTAAAGTGTCATTCTTGTTCTGAAAGTGAACTAACGTGCAATTCTTGTTCTGAAAGGGATATAAAGTTTCCTTGTTTTGAAAGTGATCTAATGTTTTCTAGTTTTGAAAGTGATTTAACGTGCCATTCTTGTTTCGGAAGTGATCTTACGTGCGATTCTTGTTTTGAAAGATTGTCAGTATTTTTTTCGGTTAAAAACTTATTATTTGTTTAACTGTCTGCAGGTATTTTCTATATTATCAAACTGATTATATTGTTTCATGAATTGTATCAAACATTCAGTCCAAATTAAATCCTCAGCCTACTATATCACATAATACAATATTATAATAATTTGATATAACAATATTTTATATACGGTACCTAATATAATAATAATGATAAATGTATTGTCATTATTATATTTTTTAGTATGTTATCACATGTTAGTGTGGTAATAAGTGAGCTAAAATCTGTTTTAAAAGTTCTTTTAGGGGACGCGGAAAGGTCGCCCCCGGAAACATCACCCCCCTACGTCATAATGACGTCAGAGACTGGGGGGTGATGTTTCCGGCCGCGGACACTCAATTTCAGTTGCAGCATGCACTCGTCGATATGACGAGTTATTTTTGAGTTTGAGTATTAATTAGATAATTATATTCACTTATCATATACAATTACCAGATTTTCTAATCACAATTGATGTTAACCGGATACTTTAACCCCGATCGTTTTCAAAATGCACACCCCGGAAAGGTCCCCCCCTGCCATGATCACCCCCGGTATACCTGCTGTAGGGCTTGGGCTCGAATATGTGTTATTTGCCACCAGTGTCATTTGCCACCACTCTAGGATTTGTGTCATTTGCCACCACTTTATACCTGGCTCGGTGAGTCATCAGCCCCAACCCTAGTCCGTGGGTCATCACCCCTCTAGGCACCGGCCGATGGACCAAGGAATACCTATAATTCACACTATCACCCTCTCTTGCAACATTTGTATGGTAAAAATTCCAACACTCTCTCTAGGAGTAGGGAAATAAACGACGGAAACGCTCATTCCTATCTGTGGTTTTGTAGTGTTACGACATAGTTAGTGCTGTTCTCATCAAGTTTTACAAAGTGTTAGTCTAATTTATTTATTTATTAATTCGCTAAAAACGTTCATAATTATTTGCAAATCTATATAAATTAATATAAATTAAAACTATATAAATTAATATAAATTAAGGTTTCCAATGACCCACTAATTAATTAATCGGTCCAGTAGAACTCTAGATTTAGTTGTACAAAGATTTTTAAAGTTGAATTATATATAAGTAGATGCATATTGCACAAGAATGACACCACAGTTAAATGAATCTTGAAGACAAACTATATATCTAAAGCGGCTAAATAATAATGTAAACTATATAACTACGTACTCAATAAAACCACATTCCATCACTTCAATCAACAAATACATTTAGACGATAGACGGACTTGGTCAACATACATGGTTTTAGTTGCTTATTTTTAAGAAGTTATCAGGCAGAATTTTACACAACATAATACCGACATATGAAAGATTCTTTCCAAAAAACTTCAAGATAACTTATGATAACAAAACGCAGTTTTTAGATATGTTGTTTATCCCATAACTGTTACATGAACCTAACGTCTCAAAGGAATAATGTCAATATATTTTATGATCTTTTTGGAATGTAGATGTAATTTTAAAACATTTATAATTTATTCTTTGCACTTTTTCTCCAAACTTACTCGTTTAGGAGCTATATCATGCTGAATGTAACCAAAAGCTACTTTAATCTAAATTTTACACGCTGTAACTCCTTTACGTAGCTTTATAGAAAAAATTCAACAGATTTTTTAAAATTAGTCTAAAATCGTCATAAAATACAAGGTGTCCGATAAGAAATTTTTAAGTTAAATATTGAAAATATCAGGCTTTAAAGGAAGAGAATTCATGTTTTTAAATGTCATAAAATAGTAGTTGAAATTTCCCATATAATGTTTTCTCTAAATCGAATAGTTTCTGAGATTGCAAAGGTGTGGTACATTTAAGTTCTTCACCCTGTATATTCGCAGAATACTAAACACCGAAACTGCGTCTTTTCAAGTATTTTAATGGGATTTAATATCATTGATGTGCTGTATACTGTGCCAAATGTTATTTTTGTATTATTCACAGTTGTAACTGGAGTTATAAACATTTATTTAATGTCAAAAAAATATATAAGTAGAATTCCAGGAACTGACCCTACTGGTGGCAAATGACACTGGTGGCAAACGACACTGGTGGCAAATAGTAGGACACCCTTGGGCTCGTGGCTCGAGCCAGCTATTGTTCACAAGGGTAGAGACTGTCCCATATTACCACCGCTCGACTGAACTCGCAAGAATGGGAAGGATTTGGCATTATTACGCAAATGTTGTGGATATTAAGATAAATACAAATTAACACTTTGATATTGTGATTTCTCTAGACATTTCCCCTTAATTTTATACATCAAATTATGTATAAACTACATATAGTTTTTTTCCGTCAACGTATGAAATGTATTTGAAACACGTGGAAATGAAATAAAATGTTTATAGTAATAGTAAAAATTAAGTAAGGAATCAACTCGTATTAATATGAGCATGCTTCAACCACTCAACATCATAATACAGTACACACTTGACAAACATATTTTCACATTTCCTAATTCTTAAATTGTAAACATTGAGCAATAAATGATGTATATGATATACATTTAAATAATTGTCTGGATTTTATACTAAAATAAATGCATTGAGAACATTCCTGACTTGATATTGGTGAAGGACTCTTTCCCGTAAAAAGAATTTAGAAAGTAAATATTGGTTAGTTTCTTCGGCAATAAACAGGAAAAAGCTCACAATGTTTAAGTTTGCGTTGATAGAGAAGTAAGCAACCGTGTCACATTCACTTTATTTCATGATTTCACACTGCTGATATTAAATAAGTAAATTGACATTGAAGTAGTACAGTTATTCCATGAACGGTCGCCCATTGTTTTGAAAATTACACATTTATATCTACCTGTAGTTCGCAGAATATTAATACGTATAACTTAAAAGTTTGCAAGAGAACATAATCCTAAGTATAGTATCCACTATTCTCAAAGTATTGATTTATGGAATTCGTCTGTAATTTGCAGACTATTAATTCGTAGAGTACAACTGTATTTATAGCGGGAAGTATTTTTTTGTAAAATAGCTAGACTTCCCCACTTCAGGTGTCCCTCCCAAAAATACCTGAGCCAAATACGTTTGTTTAACATAGTTAAGGAAAAGTTTAGTTAGTTATTTTCTAAAGTCAGTTTCAACTTTTTACCATAATTCTTACATTACCATAATTCATAATTATCAGTCTTATCTAGCCTATGTACTTAATTAATTTGGAAGGGGTTGATTTGTGAACAGAACGCCTCATAGAGTTTTAAACAGATTTTGAAAATGTTAATGTAATTTGTATAAAGTATACTGTGTAGTTGCACTAACAATATAATCAGCTCAAAATACGGTAGGGGATTTTCCCCAGTGTTTTCCAGAAACCTGCTACAACGTTTCACATTTTTATAACCCTCAAAATTTTGGTATATCGATATAGACTACACACATTCTACAAACATGACATAACTTTCATGGCATAAACTTATAGGCCTACTTACACAGATTTGATTTCAGACAAATCTTGATTTTACCCAATGGTAGAAGTATTAGAGATGTATAGTTCAAATCTACAGATTTCCTGAATACGAAGATCCGTTACGGTAGGAAAAAACTACATTTAAAACTGAAAACAGTATGGGGGCAAACACCGACGATCAATATTTAAGTAACTACTTGTAACATAAAAACGTCAATGACAGTTTGAAACCAGCTGTTAGTTAAAACAGCACTGAAACGATTTTAAATTATTAGCGACGGCTGCTAGACTAAAAAAATTAAACTTAAAAAAATGAAATCATGGCATTGACATTCCCTTCCTTTGAAAATTATATTTTATTTCAACACAAAAATCACGAAAATCGCGAAAGTGGTTGATTCATAATTTTGAAATTAAAAAAAACTCTGTCACGTTTAAAAATATAATATATCACAATCAATTGCACGCTCTAGTGGAAATCGATGAAACCCACTCATGTGAATTCTTGCTTATCCGTTTACTTTTCCACTCTTTGCGTTTTTGTACATGCCAATTCAAGTCTTAAAACATTACATTTAAAACAATTGTATTAAATCTTCCATAAATTACAAGAAACAGTGACTCATTCATTTCCCCCGATTCCGAATATTTGTGCGCAATCTTGGCGACTTATGTTCAGTCTCCAGCATTTTGGAGGTGTTCGCAATTCAGACACACCCGTTCCCATAGTCAGATTATGCTGGTTCACGAACTCGTTCTAATAAACTTAGGCTTACACATTTGTAACAAATCTCATCAAACTCGCAGCGTTGTTGCCCGAGTTACCGCGCTCACGGTCACATATACAGAGTACCTACTTATAAAGTCCCGCATGGGCTTAATATTTTCAAAACGGCAATAGATAAATCAATAAGATTTGGTACATAAACACCACACCTAAAAACAACGTTTTAAAGACTGTCAGTTTTCTGTCATATAATGGGGACATCCCGCAAGGAGTCAGTAGGAAATCTTAAATAAGAGCATAAGTTGATATTTACAGATAACCGTAGGCATATTCTACAACTTAGTAAAACGTTATTTTTTGTATTTCATTTTTCATTTAGGGCACAAATGATTTTTCTTTTTGCTTTCTTTATTTGTTGTGCTCTTGGTCTTTAATGTTTACCAGGTTTTTAATGATTTATTTGTTACCAAAAACAATTTAAGAAAATATATTTAATTATTTACTTACATTATTTTTTACGTAGTTAAAATGAATTATTTGATTTGATAATTTGAAATATTATCAGCATATTTTTCAACCTTTTCCCATATAAGAAGGCGTCCAAACACTACCAAATAGGTAAAGGTACTACAGTAGCAAAATGTGTATTTATAAAAAGAAATAAAAATAAGAATACGAAACACACAAATTTAAAGTGCGTAACAAAAAAAACCTTCGCTATTTATCTTTATGCATTTTTCTTCTTTTTGTGCTCTTGTTTTTGATTTTTAAATATATTTTATTGTTTTAAATTATATTGTAAATGAAGTTTGTACTGTATAAATTCCTTGACACTTTGTAGAATATTAAATTTTTATTCAGTTATATTTTTGTATTTTCTTATATGTATAGGCCTAAAAGACGATTTAGTACTCATTGTGTGTATTTATTTCTCAATTTAAGAACCTGTCTTCCAAACATTGTTACAAAATCCTAAATTTGTTTTAGCGAATTTCCCCTATAGGGAATAAGCTATTACCGTAGTACTCATGGTAAGACCTGGATCCGGGACCGATTTACTTTTTCGTTTTGAAGTCCCTAGATGCCAAAAACACCATCCGTTCAAATTTATAAATTTGACGAAATTTGGTAAGTACAAGCGTGTAAACCTACGTTTATTCGAACGAGTTCGCGAACCATCATGATCGAACCAAGGGAACGGGGTTTTATGGGGTAAAAATTGGTTTTTCCCATTTTTGACAGTAAAAACTTAAAATTTAGCAATTTCTTTATAAACCATTTTGTAGAGCTTAAAAAAAAACAAATAATTTAGTATATTGAAGCATTAATTATGCGCCTAATGGTTACGGAGAAAATTCCAAAAATCTGTAAATTTAAAATTTCCATGTTATACTTAGAATAAGTAGGTAAACTGTTGTAGTTGGCTTGTTTATATACATATTTTAATCAAATTTGGAAAATGCATTCATTTCATACTAAACTATTATCATTTTACAAAAAAAAAACACCTTTTTACCCCTCCCTGTTGTAGCAAACCTAAGTACTCGTTAAACTTTGATGGTTCAAAACTGGACCCAGCTGTTCCTGATCATTGGGCTTTAAATAAATGATCCTGGCTAATGAAACAGCTGATCTTAGTCAGTAACAAAGCTACACAGATCATCTCACACCATTCTACACTCATATTTGGGTCAAAATACGCACCTAGGTGGCGTCCCCATATCAATTGATATTGATATGTATTGAAATAATGTTATTTAAATAGGGAATAAATGTGATATTTTTACAGAGACATTTTAGCGTAAATCCAATCAGGCAAATGGAAATTCGCTTAGTCTGCAGGTTTGCTGTGGCGGGGGTATTTTTGATTAAAATTGGCACTTTGTGATACATTAATTGGAGTATATACGAATGTTACTATCGTTTAAGCGATGTAATACAAGTTTACAGCTCAACATTTCAAATTTTGATTACATATTAAAAATTTGAACTCACGTATATTTTCCCCTTAGTAATTATGAAACATAATTTTGCAAACTTCAGTGGCAAAAAGGTTTTCTAAACATATACATCTTATAACAAAACTAATTTATTGGTATATCAACACTGATTGCAAGTCCTCTTCTCGATTTTAAGTTATTCTGATATTTTGATTATACTTTAATTATATTTTGACTCTATTCCAGTGATATGAATCAAGCCTAGGCTGTTTCTGAATTAAGGTACTTTTTGGCATAACCTTTAGAATAGTATCATTTACATATTTGTAATTACTAACAATTAATTATTTAGTTAAATTTAAGGGATTAATCCCCTAAAAGATATTTTTATGTTTATTCTTATTTAATAATCTGTTTATAATTTTCAAATTATGAATTAAATCGGGGCCAAACCTAAAGCAATGCGATTCATTTTTAATACATTTAGAAATTATTCTATTTTTAACAAATGTGTTGCTTAACAATTACCATAGGGTGTAAGGTAAGTTTACTGATGTTGATAATTATAACTACTATTTAATGCAACAGAAAAAATGTATACTCTACGCATTATCGTTGGTTATGAATTAAGTATAAAAGAATCATTTTTAAAGTCAATCTTTGCTCGTATTATTTAGTTGTCTTAGAAGTTCATACATATCTAAATCTACTGATTGATATTCCACCACAGCGTCTGCAACTTTCTTCTGTGGAAAAGCTGTTGTCCAAGCGACAATAATAATGAACGAGCGGCCAACCCTCAGAACAATGGACTGGGGAGGACGGGCAGCAGGTAGGCTGCCGAGCAGCCCAGCCCTACTAGGGGTAGCGTTTCAGGGGGGGACGATTCCGGGGTGTACACAGGGGATGCCTTGCCGGGAGAGACCTTCCCGTTTCTACTTGTTTGAATTAAAATTAATAACATAATTAGTTCGTATCAACTAGACTTTGATAAATTACTTGTCAAGCCCTTGGGGGGGTGCGATTCCGGTCGCGGACATAGATTTTTTACCAGCTGGTTGTCTGGTTTCGTGACGTCACGTTTAGCCTGGGGGGTGATGTTTCCGGGGGCGACCATTCCGGCGACCCTTCTTTTAACACTCAGGTGACCTTGAGCATTGACTATAGTGTTATAAAGTCAATGCCTTGAGCTAACCTCGATATTATTAACTTCGGCGATTGTTGGAAAACTGTTAACCGGCTAAAACACTGTGTTTTAGACAAATAAGAAACTAATTTCAAGAAATAATTAATAAGAACAATAAAGTATTGTTCTTGCAAGATGCTATAGAACAATGTTTTGTGCATTTTCATTATTTTGTAAATGTCAAATTGGTTTATTCTACAGGGTTACAAACGAGGCTTTGGTCAATTAATGTAAGAAAACCTACCTCTTTACAGATTGTATATGATAGTAAGACATATCAAAGGCTATCTCTTATAAGGGTTTAAAGGTTAAGATAGGCAGGGTGCGCCTCATTTTGTCCTATTTTACAACTACAAATCGTGATACTTCACCTCTTTTGTTATTCGGTCGTTTTGACCTTTTATATGGCAATTAAATGCTAAACAAATGTGTTTTTAATATTTTTCATTAAATGAGCCATTTTTGTGTAAGTTAGTATGAAACTAATTGGTCGCTAATTTTAAATTATGAATTGGACCGAGTTAGTATTTTCTTAACACAAGTCCACCTAAAACCCCATATCTGGTTTTATATATCCGTTGGAAGACTTAAAAGATAAAAATCGTAATGTAAAACATACAAAGGGTAGATACAGTATCTAGTTAACGAAATGTTTTTTGAAAAAATCTTGATTTCCTCTTTATTTTTACCCATTAAATCTTATCCCGGAGTTTGGCTGTTTACTGGGTCGACTGCCTCCTCATTGTTTGTCTCGATAGTTTTCAGATCTGCACACTCTTATCTCTGACAAGATGGTCTCCCGAAGCCTCGTGTTCGTCATGGTCGCTCTCCTGGTCCTCGCCCTTGCCGAGGCCACCTACCGCAAACCTCCCTTCAACGGCAGCATCTTCGGGAAACGAGCCAACCAAGCCGGTAAATACACCATACACCATACTCTAGTTACACCATACGCCATACGCCAAGCCAGGATAATTTATCATAGCTGTCAAGCCATTAACTACGCCGTTATGGTTATTTGATAGTCAATTTATTTCAACAGTAGGCTAACTGTGTTTAACCACCCTCCAACTTAACTCAGCACACATCGAGTCTAGGTAGTGTTACTTCGGTGTACGATATTTCCCAAATAACTTACTCATTTGATCGTAACTTTTGAATTCTATTACACTTCTCTCTCTCAAAAAGCTTATTATTTTACACATTGAGAAAACTGTTCACGTTTAAAAAAGGAGAGTTTTATTTCCCCCAAGCAGTCCTACTTAAAACACACGAACACAGAAATGTGGCGAATTCTAATTCTTCTGACGGACAAGTATAGTATTTTCAACAAGAGATTATAGATGGTTCAACATAAGACTGAAACAAAGATAAATGTTGAAATAAAACATAGTTTTGTGATATAAATACTACAATCATTAGCCTAGCTATAACACTTTATTTGTTCATCACATTACGCAAAATGTTGATAACAAAAATATTAAACGACCTGAACATTTGTTAATTACAAACTAAACTGGACTTGATTAGCTTAAATAGATATGCGATTTTAATTGGAGCTGATAGCTTTTCTCAAATAAGCAATCGTTGCTCATCAGCCTCATTCGACTCTTAATAAATAAATATAACAGTTCTGTTGTACGGATGCATTTATTGCAACAAATCAGTTACAAGTTGTAACCAAAGTTAATTGTAACACTTAATTTCGTTGTTATTCACCTAGGAATTGTTCAGTTTTTACCACGTAAATATTAATGGAAAATAATAATCCAAACGAACCTTTTCACAGCCACTGTAATATAAAATAAATATTTGTGCTGTAAGAGTAATTTTTATGTTTTGAGTACCTTGTGGCATATTCTCATACCAAACCTCTATATTATACTTAACTGTCACCATTTCGATCGGGAAAAATCCGATATTTGATTGATTTTTAACCGGTTATTATTAAAACAAAAAAACTATAAATTTTCTGCTTATAATTGTATTATCAGAGTTATAGGTGTATAGAGGGGTGTAGGCAGCTCGTCTAAGATAGGCTTGTGGGTCAAATATAAGATAATCAGATTCTGGCCTTGCGAGGCATTCGCATCCCTTCCTTCCTGTACTAGTGTAGTCACTTAGGTTATATCGGGAACTTAACTGAACTACTAAGTTTTCAGCCAAGCAAACTAGGTGTTCTGGTTATTTCCAAATAATTTATTTGGTATATTACTTGGCTGTTACAAGGAATGAAAATATACAAAACATAATAAGAACATTTAATTGGTTAAAAAACCTAGTTCGTTTTACATTTAATCTGAATTATGTTACAACCAATAATGTTAAAATTGTTTAACACATTTTCCAAAAATCAGTAGAACACGAAATATTTTGTAATTTTACTTCTTAGAATCAAGTACACAAAAGTACACCTTTAAACAAATATCACAGTAGCTAGAGTTAAACGACTACTCTACAAACAAATACCACTTATTATGGGTTGCAGACATAGGCCTAATTATATTTAAAGTAAAAATGGAAACTTTATTTGAGGATAATATTTTTTTAACTTTGTTACTAATCTGTAACTTGAAACGCATAAGGGATTCTTTAGAGCAGCACAACTTTCAAAACACATAATTTGGCAAAACGCATTTACTACCATAGTGTGTCTAAATACACTTACAAAACAAAATCGTCGAAAACAAATAAATAAAAAATACAATCTTACGACTATTGACCACAGGGTGGACAAATTTTCTTTTTTGTTAAAGAAAGCCAAAAGAAAATACAAAGTACAACTTATCCTGGTAAACCGTTTGTGTCGAAAACATGTGTGAACTATGCCATCACTGCAGTCATTTAACATTTTTGAGTAAAACCTTATACTTGAGTGGGAAAAGGTTAACATAGTTTAACGGAAACATTGCAGACTATTCTGTGTTTTGTGCTACTCCAGAAAACTTCGTCAAAGCAAGAGTTGACTTCGAGCAATGTCCAAATGAATTAAATTAAACACAATTCCAACTGGGAAAAAAACTAAATTGTTAATTTTTAATTTGAATCATTAATATTACTTTGGAATTTATTGTACTGAATCTTAAAAAAACTTTACCTCGTGTAGTATTCAAAGTCGAATTTATAAATTAAAAACTTAAATCTGCTAAATAATATTGTTTTTCAAAAACAATTGTTTATTCTTATTATTTTACTAAAAGGTAAAGTGTAACAAGTTTATATAATTATAGTTATTTTATTCTATAACTTACTAATCCTGAAAATAGTGGGAATGGCTCTCCTTCTAAAAACACGAGTAGTGTGCAAACTAGCATCACTTTGTAGGACCAGTGTCGAAAAGTAATCTTTAAATGGTGTTTAATTTTGATAGCATAATGACGATGAGAGCATCACATAAAAAATACAAATATTAATTTTCAATACTTTAATAAGAAAATTATCTTCAATATTAAACAAAAAATCAATTTCAATCATCCTCATTGCTTCCACGATAAACAAGAAATGTATGGATGCTACCTGGGCTCTGTTTACGAAATGTAACTCTTATAACTCTTATATAGTATAGTTTACATTATATTTCTACTTGGTGTGTTTTTAGCTTCTCATTCTTCTTCAAGAACAAGAGAAAATGTCTTTCACCCAGATATGGACTCGAAACATAGGTTTTGTACTATGTGTTTTATCGTGTTGTACTATGCAAGGGCAGGCCTACTTTTTATTACAATATTCCAACTATGACTTGAAGTGTCTTAAATAAAATAACTTTAAAGGGTCTATAATTAATAATTACATACGGTACCTATGTAGGCCTAAGTTTAGTTGTACAACGTTTACACTAAAAGCGCATTTAGTACTGTTTAGTACAATGTATTCCAACTTTTTTGAAGACATTACGTTTTCAGGAAATTAATGTTAGTGTGTCTACAGCTTGGTTAAAATCAGCAGTCTTGAAGTATATTATCATCTAAAAATAGGGAATTGTAAGAATGGAGAAATTACACGTGTAGGCCTATGCATTAATGGTTATTTTTGTGATATATTTTGTACTATTTACGTATATTTTGATGAAAGTAATAAGGCTACATTTTAGTTTTGAGTTTGAACATAGATCGGTTACTTTCTGAGTTGGCTTTTGCTTTTAAAGCAGGAGGCCCCAAGGTGCGGGGACCTAAATGTGTATCTGTGGACTTTGGCCGTCTTGACGTGTAATCTGTTCTTATCAGTTTCAGAGTTCGAAGAAGCCGCTGGTGAACTCTTATATAGTATAGTTTACATTATATTTCTACTTGGTGTGTTTTTAGCTTCTCATTCTTCTTCAAGAACAAGAGAAAATGTCTTTCACCCAGATATGGACTCGAAACATAGGTTTTGTACTATGTGTTTTATCGTGTTGTACTATGCAAGGGCAGGCCTACTTTTTATTACAATATTCCAACTATGACTTGAAGTGTCTTAAATAAAATAACTTTAAAGGGTCTATAATTAATAATTACATACGGTACCTATGTAGGCCTAAGTTTAGTTGTACAACGTTTACACTAAAAGCGCATTTAGTACTGTTTAGTACAATGTATTCCAACTTTTTTGAAGACATTACGTTTTCAGGAAATTAATGTTAGTGTGTCTACAGCTTGGTTAAAATCAGCAGTCTTGAAGTATATTATCATCTAAAAATAGGGAATTGTAAGAATGGAGAAATTACACGTGTAGGCCTATGCATTAATGGTTATTTTTGTGATATATTTTGTACTATTTACGTATATTTTGATGAAAGTAATAAGGCTACATTTTAGTTTTGAGTTTGAACATAGATCGGTTACTTTCTGAGTTGGCTTTTGCTTTTAAAGCAGGAGGCCCCAAGGTGCGGGGACCTAAATGTGTATCTGTGGACTTTGGCCGTCTTGACGTGTAATCTGTTCTTATCAGTTTCAGAGTTCGAAGAAGCCGCTGGTGCCCGGAAGGCTCTGTCCTCTCTTTGCGAAGTCGTCGCTGAGTCTTGCTCCGCTTGGTTCCCCAACTCTGAAAGTAGCGTTTAGTCTTCTTCAACTACATTTATCTAGAACTGTAGGTAAGTTGCAGTGACATAGTCAGAAAAAATGTTAACAAAAACTGTTAAACCTGCAAAATTTAACCGATTCTCTTTATCTTGACATACCCTTATCAATTAAAATCGTCAACGTATCTTCTACTGTTGACTGTTCATTAACTAAATCGGTGAACTTTTCACTATCAACATTTTGAAAACTCATCAACAACAACATTGTTAGCCTACTCATGCAATTAGAGACAACAACTTTCTCAAATATAAACGAACATAATTTGTGGGTCCAAAATGACATGGAAAGAATTTGATTTCTAAAAGTAAGGAGTATAGTTGACTTGTATAAACATTGAATGTTGCACACCGTAATATTGTAATTTTATGATCTCTGGACTTGTTTTCAAAATAGCACCATGTTGAGGTACCAATTAACCGTTGCCTCCAAAGTTCAGCTCTTGATCAATCTAATAAATCGATATTTCTGTTTCAGATTTTAAGACCTGGAGCTGAAAGTGTTTAGTATTTAGGCTAGATGAATCAGCTGTTTACAATGTAATGTACCGGTACTCTTCATAATAAACTGCAGATACACAATTTTTAAACGATTCAATTGATTTCCACCCAAGCTCTCCACTCTATAACAATATTTTTAAATAAATAGGAATTATTTATACGCATGGTCTTCATTTTCCATGGCTAAACTGAATATTATTCTGTATACCAAAACTGTAGAATTATTTGATTCCAGAATACGAATGACTAATTAAAGACCAATAAAAATGGAACTGAAATATCAAACTCTAATGAAACCTTAAGTGTGCGACACTTTAACATCTAAACCAAACATGCATTCCATTGGATAACGTGCGTTTAAGTGTTTAAATTGAGGACTTCTACGTCCTACGAGTAGATATTGTATATAAAGGGTAGCTCTTTTGTTGATGATTTCTTCATAGTTTTGTGCTGAAGAATGGTAAATAATTTTTACAGTAAAACGAACACTCTAAGAATAAACTAAATGTTCATTACCAAAACATTGATGTATTTAATTTAACAATATTATATTTATAATAATGAATTTATTTTTATAAAATAAATTCAAAGTATAAATTACTTTTAGAAGTGTTTATCACAAAAATTGCCTTTCCACTTATTTGATGATAGTGGAACGTTGATCAGTTTAGGTCGATTGTAGAGCCGAAGACCCCAAAGTCGTGTTATAGACATGGTCTCCCGTAAACCGAAACAAAAAACTTAAGAAACAAGTTTTGCAGTTCAAAATAAAAAGATGATTGAGACTACATTTTTCAAAACCACTTTGTTACCAAGATATCTACTATTTTGTGCTTTTGTATTTAAAACTTACCATATAACTATAAAACCGACTCTTAACGAAACTTGGTACAGGCTTTCGAATAGCAATGGACTATTTGTGGGAAAATCAATAAAATATGGCGGTTGCTCAGGCCATGCACATTGAGGAGATGTCATGATAATCCTGTGCCATGAGACGACATTTACCTTGGAAATTCGCTAAAATGTCAGAACAAATTGTGTAACTCAACCGAACAACAACATTGCTTATTGTTATTTGTTTGTGTTATATAGCAACTTTACAAAAACAAACATCAGAATCTCCTGAAAGTAAAGGTATACAATTCAGGACATGTGTCGATTTCTTTAACTTATTTTGACACATAAATTAGTAAATGGATAAATCCTTGCAAAAATATGAAAAGTGTCCGGTCGTGTACTGGCCGGAGGTGTCCAACCCACCTTCGGACATCTCCGCCACTATTCGATGGACCTGAACGAGCACTTAAACCACTTTAGGGTTTGTAATTAGGTAATTACAAGTCCCGTACAACTCCCGATTGTTCAGCTATTCATTTATGATATTTCTGAATGTTATATAAATTGATTTAAATGTTAAATGCTGATGAAATTATTCGCTGACTTTATTTCAGAAAATCAGCCAACTTTTTAAAATTTTAGTTATGAAATTTGAACTGCCACCATTTTGGAATAAAAATGGTTTAATAATTATTTTTTTCAATAAACTTATTGCTACCTTACCTAGATTGCATATACCTATGTTGAAGAGATAATAAGATATCTATAACCGTTTAAAATATATACATTACCAATCATAAAATACAAAATGTTTCATTTTTGAACAATTTAAAACGTATTATAATGTATACTGACGTTTTTGTGCTTACTTACTGGACAGCCTGTATAGTTACGGTGTAATGAATGAATGAAATGAACAAAGATTGATTTATCTATTTGCAAGCAAATAACTAATTAAAAGGCACACTACTGGTTCCACGCTTGTAAAAAACTAACATATGTTTAATAATAATATTATGTAATCCGTTTTATACTTAAATAATACCTTAATCATATTTACAAGTGTTATTTTTTGTATTCAAATGGTTTTGTATTTTTACCTACGACCGTTTTTAAAGTAGCCGTTTCAGTACAGTTACAGATCTTAGAATTGATAAGTATTTTATAACAGCATTGTTTTACTTTCATAACAGCATAGTTTTACTCATAACAACACGGGTAACGGACCAATGAGGTTCAAAGATTGAGAGAGGAGAAGCAACATTGTAATGATTCGAAATTCAACTAATCAGCTGTTCAGGCCAATTTAATTGTTGGTTGGTGCAATTAGTGAATTAGTGTTCGATATTCCTTGCTTCACTGTCAGTGGCAATGAGAGGTTATAAACAAAAACATAACCTCTCTTAGAAGTTATGAGTATTGATTTTTAGTAATTAAAACACCGTCGTAGGTGAAGTAGTGTAGGTACGCAACTCGCGTAAATAGTGATCGATAGTGTTAACGACACTCGTAGAAGTTTTTAAAGCACTCGCCAAGGCTCGTACCTTAAATTTTCTACTCGTGTCGTTAACACTATCTTTACGCAATCATTGTAAACTACTATTGTACTTTCAGGGGATTTAATAACACGAACGACACTAATCAAGAAGACGCTTAATAATAGTTGTAAGTTGCATTAAGCACATAAGTAGTTTTAAGTGTGGCATATATAAATGGCGGCGTTCCCTATCTCTGACACGTCATAAAACAACCAATTTAGATTTAGAGATTTGCATCGATATCGACGTCGACATCCGTGATCATAAAACATTGATTGCACGAATCTAGTCCTCATTTCTAACAAAATTCTAGTCCATAAACAAGTTTATGATTGTTTTGGAGTGGATATTTCATCAGAGAATCGATATACTGGGGAAATCCTATATTTTAAACTCTGGAGGGGGTTGACTTTACCGGCATTAGTAAATAATCAACAAAGTTAAATATAAAATAGGTTGAAATCTAATTATTATTTGAATGCATTTTAGACTCCAAATACCGATATAAATCTTTAGGGCTGTTGGACTCCACGACTTTCCCAGGTCCTAAAATCCCACACTGAACACAAGCCTCTGCCATTTGAAGGCGAGATCGAAAACTCTTGAGTTGCCGGAAAACTATATAATACAGAGATTTGTATGCTTTGCCTATGAAGCTTTTAGGGAAAGTAAGAATTTTAGTATTACTAATAGGTTTGCATACACTTTGAGTAGGCATTATGTATAAAGCATATAGACAATTGCCCACTGGTGTGTCAGGCTACAATAAAGATATTTGTGCAAAACAAACTATACTTTACATTTTGAAATAATTTGTGAATGGTTATGTTAGGTTTTAGTTAAGTTTATTTTATTTGAAACTATATTAGATCATTAAAAAAAGAAATCAAAAGTAGTATAAAAATGTCATTCAGAATATATTGAAACATTTTGTATGTCTAGGTTATGATAGTTTTTGGATTAGATTAATTAAAGCTGAACAAGGAAACTAATGTCTAAAAAGATGACATTTTATACAACAGGGTATTTGATACTTTACATGTAGTGCCAATGGGCATTCTGTACAGTAACAGTACAGTACCCGGGACTGGAGCCAAGTCCTGGACGATCCACTATAGTCTGGTCAGACCATTGATTGACTTGGACCTCAACTAGGTGAAGAAGCTCAGTCAGTAGGAACAATCACCTGCCCTCATAGCATGCTCATTGCTCAGTAGGAACAATCACCTGCCCTCATAGCATGCTCATTGCTCAGTAGGAACAATCACCTGCCCTCATAGCATGCTCATTGCTCAGTAGGAACAATCACCTGCCCTCATAGCATGCTCATTGCTCAGTAGGAACAATCACCTGCCCTCATAGCATGCTCATTGCTCAGTAGGCCTTCAAGTCGCCAATCAGTCATCATTCCAACCGCACGATGTGGCTTGCAGAGTCATACTAGCAGCCATGTTGTTACATTTCAGCAGATACAGTGTGGATTTCCGCCGAGTGGAGGGGGAGGTGCTTTTAGAGGGTATGTCTAGTTGGATTGGATGGCTGTGTGTGGTAAATCCCACACTACTACCCTCAAGGACCGAGTGTGTGTAACTACATTTTACACCTCCCAATAGAAAACATACTGTACAATGACGAGGCAATCCATTCAAAATTGCAAACGCAACTAGTTTCAGGTCCTACATGGAGCCATCATGAGGCGGTAAAGCACGTGTTCTTTCTTCATATGGAGAGCGTCATATTTTTAACACGGAAAAATAATATTACAAGAGGTTAGATTACCTTATTTCCGGCAGAGTAATCCTAAAGTTGTCTGTAAGGCGACCGGTTTTGATGCCTATGGTATCATTGTCAAGCTAGACATAGAACCTATCACTCGAAGGAGGTCGTCAGAAGTCTTAAAAAGCGCGTAGTCACAAAAATAAATAAATAACGATAAAATGCATGTCAATGCAAACAGGCATTACTACACGGCGGCGGGTCTAGACCTGTAGTAATGACAGTTTGCATTATCCAGGTTCAAATCCAGCCAAATCACCAATGGATTTTATCTAAGTGATAATGCCACAACCCCTAGATCTAGCCTAATGTGAAAAACAATCCTGGGCTCGTCCCTAGCGTCCTAGGACAAAAATTAAGTTTCCTGATAGCATTGTCATACATACAATTGGCCGATAACTAGATATGGTCACTTAGCACATTTTGGTGGTCGGATTTCACTGCCTTGTATATCTCAAACTATCCCAATGCGTTTAATTTCAATATGTCTCTAGAACAATGTAAGATATCCATATTTCCATTGAAGTTAGTATAATTGTGGCCTTGGAAAATCAAATGTTCAGCAAAAGATAATGTTTGATGTACTGATGGCTTTTTTGTAGATTTTCCTTGGAATTTCGGTTCAACATTGATTTTCTATCTGCCAAAATTATCAAAAGTATGAGTTAGGATTTCACTCCTTTAACAATGGACGAAGCTTGTTTTCTGTTCTGAAGGAAACTATAATATTTTGTTACCATATCATTTTGATATTATTTTATTGCTTATGAAGATGCCATATTTTGCCTAGATGAATCTGTTCTGTTTTAATAAAGATGAACGTAACAAGTTTAATCTTTGTTATCCTCTACAGTTAGATTATAGATTATTTAATTTATAACCGTGAGTTTATTCCGAAAACGAAGTATACACTTTCATGTGTGATGGAACCACGG